CATGGTTAAAAAAAAAAAAAAATCTGTTTAAAACATAAATAAACATTTTAAATGTTCCATAAGATCAATGTAAATTTTGAAATTTTTGATGTTTTAAACATTGTTTCAAATAAGTATTGTTTAAAACATAACAACCATGAATTATACTTGATAAATTGTTTTTGATTTCTAGAGTTCATTATTTATTATCATAAATAATTTTTATGTAAATTTACCTTGTATAAGGAGAAGTATTGCATAACTTATCTGTACATTGGCCAGTTTCCAGAAACCTTGTACAATGGTCATGTTCACGGCAACACGAATCTTCTTTTTTATAAACTCCCAAGTCAGAATAGCTTTTAGCTATATTACCAGGTCCACACCATTTTGTACCTAGAATAAAATTATCATAATTATTTTTTTTAAATAACTTCTTAATGTTATACTTATTACCGGGGTATATAAATCCAATATTTTGACTTGACCTTTTAAATACATTTTCGCAAATTTTAAAAAGCATATCTATGGATTCTGCTTGTTGGGCTTCATAAGTAAAAAATGGAAAATTTGACATTACACGCTTTATATCTTCACTGTAATGTAAATAATACATTATTTAATATTATTTACCTCGTCAGCAATTTCAATGTTGTTTATAACATTATTGTTCGCCTTTTAGAACTAGATCACGTGTTACACATGGTTATTATTTTCACGCACAAAACAATTTAAAATTCTGCGTGGATATTAGGAAGTAAGGACTTCAAAATAACAATCCAAGGCTTTAGTTAATGAATTCTATTAACCACTATAGTTTCCATGTCGAAAACTAAAACAACTTAAAAGTATTATTTATACACACAGCTTTGTATTAATGACAGTTACATCTTCTTTAAGGTTAATGTCTGACCTCACTTGTATATATTTAAATCACTTTTACATTTATGTATCATTTTTTAATTGATTGATTTCTACTTCTTCCATATAGGAAAAATTTAGTTATACGTTATTTCATTGTAAACATGAAAGATATACAATTTTTATACATAAATCAAAATGTGTAATACATATTAGAAATACTTTTTAAAATATCTAAGTAAAATCTTAAATTTCCAATTTTTTTATATTAGAAGAACATTTTTTACTTATTCTAATTATGATGATATTTCAAAATGAAATTTTATGAATAAATAAAAATTAATGGTTTCAACATTAAAAAAAAAATTAAGATCGTAAAATGCTTTAAGATATTCAACATTTATCATTTAAAAAAAATCCTAGGTAAAATAAGCAATAAATAAAGGGCGTCCAAAGGAAATTTTTATGATGGGTTAGGCAAAATATTTTTTAAATATTGGGTTTTACTGTCTGCTTAACACACACAGCGTTAAAGGGGTGGCCGAGGTCTTCAGTCAAAGAACCGTGCTGTTTTGAGGCTTTGACATAGACGCAACAAAAGAGAACTTAGTCTCCTTAGTTAATGAATTAACCTTTTGAAATCATAACACAATCACTACATGATATCTCGTTACCATAAATCCATAATCATATAACCCCATAACAGCATAACCCCATAATTCCATTTGTATCAATGCAAATTTTTACCGTTGTTCATGATATGTTCAATCAGTGAAAAGAAACGTAATATTCCCATAACATTTACATTTATATAGTGTACTCATTCATGTTTTATTCTAGTTATTTCATAAAAAGTCTTATGAGGCTACATGATGTACACATCCGATCGTGCAACCTTTCCGTAATGTACATCGAATAACGCTAATACCAACGGTTCAATCATTGTTTAATGGTTTTATAGGTTTATAACATTCGATTTCACTGATCAAAACTATTCTGGATATTTGTGACGAGATGTATTAATATAGAACTTCAGAGTTNGATATTTGTGACGAGATGTATTAATATAGAACTTCAGAGTTTACTTGTGCGCAGGTGATTTAAAACTTACTCAATAGGTTTCGTTTGATATGGGGTTTTGGGATTATGAGGTTAAGGCGTTATTGAATTTCATTTCACTGATCGAACGTATCATTAATGTCCGTAAAAATTTTCATTGGTACAAAATGCCTGAGATAAACTATTTTGTTTGACTTGGGAGCAATGGAATTATGGGGTTATATGATTATGGACTT